ACTATACATCCATATGAGCCATTGTCTAAACTCCTAGCATCCCCTTGAATATCCCCTGCAGTGGTCCCCTATATAATCTCCGATAGAACCCCCTTTAAGGTGTTTAGACTATGGCTCATATTACGGTGACTTGAATTAAGTTCCTAAACCGCAACGCAGGAATAGCATCCATTGCTCCAGACAGGACTCCCTACGTGTGTACGGGGCCAAGGCAGCCAGGTGACCAAGCTTTGGCGGTTTTCGGGGTTGCTGCTAAGGAACTTAGACTAGGATGCTTCCCCAATATAGTAAATCAAGTTAACACCCTAAACAGCAACCCGATTGTTGCTGCTAACAGGTGAGTGGAGGTTTCTGCAGCAAAAAGTAGCTTGCCACTACCTTAATACATGAACAGGAGCCCCGTCTAGATTAATCCGGTCCTTCGAAGACGTACTTCAACAAGTGCCCATTTAGTCCAGGAGGGGCTTTCCATCGGGAGCACTGGTAAGCAGGTATTACAGGAACAGAAGTGGGGTCATGCAAGTATCCAGGTTGGACATCAGAGAGAAAGCTGCCCTTTGGATTTGGTGCAAGGACATGGGAAAAGAATCACTGTATCATTGTCCAAGCCCAGTCAGCAGATGAGCTGCTTGTTGAAGCCTACAGCAGGGCCCATATTCATCATGTTGTAGTGCCACAGGCAGGTTGTCATGACTTTACTGCCATCTTTTGACATAGGTTCACTTGGGCAACATGCCTTTGGCCAGAACAAACCTGTTGTACATATCCACATACTTCATATCATCAACTCCTGGCCATACTTCCTCCAGCGTGTAATATGAGTTGCAGTTCGTTGCCGTGACATCCGTTGCCATAAGCCACTTTTCAACAGGATAATCTTCGTATGGAATTGTCATTCCCCTCCCAAGCCTCGATCCACCCCAAACGCCCCAAACCCAAACCTTGACCTACTGGTGCCTCAGAGGGAAGGCAGGGGTGGGGCGACTATAAAAGCATGGTCGTGGGGTATATGTAGGGATGAGTATAGGGGTCCACTCCCCCACTTCCGATCCAAAACCCTACATGCCTACACCCTAAACATAAAAAACGAAACTAGAAACCATATAGTGGCTTGCTTGTTCTTTTCCACTGCCACTTACTTGCCTCTGGTTAGACAGGAATAGCTTCACAGTAGTAGTCCCAGAAACTCCCCAATTTGTTTCCATTTTCTTTTCCATTTTCTTTTCCATTGCCTGCCTGCTGATCAGAAGTAAGTTTTATAACCCCTACATCAACCCCAGTTTCCATTTCATTATTTTCCGGGGTAATATCCCTAATTATCCCCATCTAGACCTTAAAAGACCCTAAATTCTTAGCCTTTGAAATTGAACGAGGTTTCCATTTGGGCAGTATCGCCCGGGCTGCCTTGATGTCGGCTCCTTGTCGGCTGCTGCGCGGCCTGTGGCGGGCCCGCAGGAAGTGCTGTACTCGTTTTAGGATTGTCACTGGGTAGGCTCCTGGGATATCTAATATTTTCCCTAATGGCTTTAATAAGGGACCCTATATACTAATACTTCTCAAAGGGTTTTTGGGGCCAACCCAGTTTAGTATTGACATCAATCTTACTACTGTGTTAGTGTTCGTGGAACAATCACGTACCGCATTACAATCATCATTTCTGTTATCTTATTAATGATGGTGCTGACAGTCTTAGTCTCTCTCGTAACTAGTAGCTGGCTTCTTTTTGCCGGGGCGTTGTTGGGCCCGTTTTTCTTTGCAGGGAGTGCAAGGTTGACTTCAAATTGGTGTTGTCATAGCAATGGTTGCTGTTGGTCATTTTTGCGGTGCACCTGGGCGTCCCAGAAAGGTGTCACGATCAGTAGGACCATTCATGAATTTTGGAAAGAAAGCCAGTTGCGTGCTGGTCGCTCATTGACAAACTAAGGATCCAGATCTTCGTGCCTGATAGGCCGAACTTGGACAAGTCCCTGAACCAGCAGTACCGCAACTTGGCGCGCTTGATTGTAGACACCTCGGGCGATCAGATGATTCATTGCCCTGCTCCCTTGGTGACCATGCTTGGTAGGTCTGAAGCAAAAAGTCATGGCAGAGCCAAATGCTAGGCCCTAAACCCTAACCCGCCTCACCCAGCCCTCAGCCCTGTTTAAACCTCAGGCTGAACCCTATGCCCCAAATTAAGCCCCAAAACCTGTAGTTCCAGTCCCCGGCAAGTAGATAGTATGGAATTGCCCACTATCACAAAAAGATCCACATAAACCCCATATTCTATCTACTCGAGTGGGACTATGCTAGATAGACTAAACCCTCGCCTTCCGACCTGGCCGTAAGCAGAACATGCATAGCCGCCCCTACAGGCATAGCATTCTACCTGTTCTGGCCGCTGATTCAGATTGACCTCTACATCCTCCGCTTCTACAAAGATAGTGTACTGGTCTGCCGGCAGCAGTCTCTGAAATTTTCAAGCATTTTTGGCCACGAGCTTGATCAAGCACCCATGGCAATCAGACGGGCTCAATTCTCGCTGAGTTTCCCGAATGGGTCCTTGTGCCAAATCCCAAGTGGGCAAATCCACGCCAAATCCATGCAAATCCCGAATGGGGGGGACTCTTAGGGGTATCTTTTGGGGGTCCGGATTACGAGGCCTATTGTATATTGAGGTCTATGTCTATACTGGCGTCCCCCAATTCATGGAAACTCTGAGATCTGAATCCTAGGTCTTGCTGGCCTTGAAGGGCTTCAAGTACATGGATGCTGCGCGGCGGGTGGAAGGCAAACTCCAGATACTAAAGTACGCCTCACGCCTAAAACCTCATTCTGGATTTGGGGTTCAGGGTTTTCCTGAACACCAGACCCCAAGCCCTGAACCCTACAACCCGGACCTCAAACCCTAAACCCTTTCTCGGCATGTGGACACAAGAGCGCAATAAAAGACAATCCAAGCCCCGAACTCCAAGCTGACCTTCTGGGCTTTGGAAGGTCTCCTAAACCGGTCCCGGGGGAAGATCCCCCACCTCACCAAGTTCACCTCCAGGAGCGGGCTGCCGACCGTCATAGGGTTTTCGTAGCCTCTGGAAACTCCAAGGGAGTTCGTTACAGGGACAAACAAGGGCGTAGGGGTTGTGAAAGTTGGCAGCCCTTGCAACCCTAGCGATTTAAGGGGAGCATGAGGGGATTTGGGGCTTTCGCACTTCATAATTTCTATCATCACGCTCCTGACTAGTTCTTAATATCGTGGTCCTTCTATGCTGGCATTGCCTTTTGTCATCATGGGGCCCTTCCGTTATTCAGGATGTGTCATTGTTTTGGAGTTAGAGGTACTTATATAAACCACTACATAATCCCAGTTTGCATTTCATCTCATGCCGTGTCGGCTCCATTTCCTAGCTGTCCTAGCCGCGGCCTCCTTGAGAAAGACTGTCAGCTCTAGGTTTTAGCAGCAGGTTTTAGAAGGTTTGGGATGTGAGCTGGGCAGAGCTCACGTGCGCTGATCTGCTCTTTGGCCGGATCGTCTGATGCAGTCAGCCCTACCTTATTCTGATAAAGGTTGTCATCATTAGTGTTACAATGATGGCAATTTTTTTTCCAAAAATCTCGAGCCATGATAGAAGCCCTGGATGCTGGACATTTTGAAGGCCCCTAAACCTCCGATCCACACCACAAACTATAGACCTTAGGTGGACCCCCCACCCTGTAATAGTGACTCTGAGGGATAGTAGTAACTATATTAGGGTTCTCTTATATTCCTATCATACCACCATTACAGGGTGGGGGGTCCTCCTAATATAGACCAATACGCATGGCGTTTGTGCCGCTCCCGGACTTCCGACAAAGCAGCTCAACAAGCTAAGGTCATCAGGCTTAACCCAGACCCATAATTAATAAACCCCCTCCCCTTAATAGGGATTATAATAGGGATCCTAATATTTAGGCCCTTAAAAGGAGGGGGTTTATTAATCATGGGTCTACATTATGCTACTGAGTTTCCGAAGTTCACATAGCTGCAGAGTTAAGGTTTTCCTGAGCCTCAACCCGCAAGCCAAAAACTGTGAACCTGAACCCTTCCCTCCAAATCTTCAACAAACCCAAAGCCCCAAAGCTGCAGGATCGAGGCTTTCCTCAAGGGCAGCATGGGCTTCACGAGCATCTGGGGTAGATTAGAACTCCGGTTGAACCTTTTTTGAAAGGCCTTTTCCGCCTGCCTCTGCTGAAGAGCATTCTGGAGGGGCCATTCAACTTGCAATAGCAATGCAGGTGGTTGCAGCTGCACTGTTATTGCAGAGCTTAGTGTGCGCCGACCTGCGGTGCGATGGGCATGCTGAGGCCCTGAACCCCAACCTGAACCCTTACAACCATAAACCTTAAAGACCGAACCTCTCAGTCCTACACGCCTCCCATGAACCCCCAGTAGGCCTTAACACTCTTAAACGTACTGATGCTAATCACCTCCTCCAAATATCAATCAATACCTCCCCCCAAACCCTACGTAACATCAAATAGTCCCATTATCCTACAGTAGTTCACCAGAATGACACGGGGGGCGGGCGGTGGTGGGTTTTGATTTAACGGGGAGGGGATTCATTCAAGTATCTATACTCATCTCTGGCTCATTCCTATATGCCCCTATTCAACCCCAATATAAGCCTTACATGCCCTGTTAGGCTCTCTAGTTCTGGGAAATTCCGATCATATTCATACCCAAGCTAGTTGCTCCTTGAATGAAAAAAAAGGCATGGTTTGGGCTTTCTTCCTTTTCCGGGAGCCGCGGCAGGGTGCTTACCACCAGGCGAGGGCTTTCCGAAAAGGGTAGCAGAGGATGCATATGGGGGTTTCTATAAAAGGTACCCTATACCTTAGGAATTATGGAAGTATAGTAACGTATACAAATGTCATGCAGGATTTTGAATATCCACACGTAGCAATACGTACTCGCAACAGTGTGAAGAAGATGATTGCAGCGCACTCTCCCTGACTTGTGTGTCTGTTCTTCCCTCAGATAAATCGTCCCTTCTACTAACAGCGGCGTTCCCCCAAGAAAAAGGGTTAAGGTTTTAGGTTTTAGGGGAAATGGTAACTGAGCCCAGACATGCGTATGTTGTTCAAAGCAGGTGGATTTGAAATTGGAAGACGTATGTCAGGACCAAAAGAGCTTCTAGGACCAAAAGAAGTTCTGCTAAAAGGCAATCAGCTCTTCCAGTCAGGACACCCGGGTACAAAATGATCAACTAGCTGCTGAAATACAAGCCTGTCAAGAATTTGGAGTCACCAAATATGGCACTTGCATCAGGGAATGGTGCACCGCCCGTACAGTTTTGGAAGTTACGTGGCATTTCTAGTCCTTATGAAATGTACTATGAGTCCTCTTACGCCACTGCATATATCGAAGACATCCAAAACCAATAGTTTTTTACATGCAAGGAAGGCTTCGGTGGAAGTAAAGCTCTTCCGGATTCTCTCATAGAATTACCCAGGCAATGCCTGTCAAAAATAATCATGTTACAGGAAACGAGGGGCGTCATTCATATCGTGAAGAAGCAACCAGGCTGAGTAGAGAAAGACGTTATACCAAGAACCCAATTCAACCCATCGCATAATTTCACGAACAGTTGAATCAGGGCCGTAGCTATATTAAAACGATGAACCAGGTCAGAAGCAATGGTTCTCGCAAGGCAGGCATACAGATTAGTTAGTTGATTCCTGGAGTTGACAGGCCATGGAAGAAAAGCTGTACTTGTCCTTCTCCATACTCCACCGTACTTACTCAAAAAAAAGAGCGAGGCTAGGCCTTTTCATGCTGCCCAGGATGTTTAGGATAATCAGTGGGATTCGTATTCTAAATTAAATCCAGACAACCCTGGAATTCATACAAAATGTTAAGTAGAGCCGTTTCTTGTTCAATTTCCAGGGTTTCTGGACGATTTTGGTGGTTTTTGCCAACCTAAAGAAACAAAGAAATTGGTAGACATGCATTGCCAGATTTTCCCGCCATTTTTTTCGATTGATCTCATGGAGAAGAAGGTGCAGCCAGAATTTTTGCAAAAGTTGGCTGGGCCAAGTTTTTCTCCTATTTTCCCGAGAAAGTTCGTGGAAAAAGTTGGCCCAGCCAACTTAATTTTCGCAATTTACCGCCTACAAACAGGTGGATATCCCAAGGTTTGTTCGGGCTGAGCCAACTTTTACATACGTTTACTACCAACGTCACCTTGGAATTCGCGGAAAAAGTTGGCCCAGTCAACTTTTCTTGAAAGAGCACCATCTCAAGCAATCAGGTGGAGACCATGGACAAACTGTGGAATTTGTGGGAAACACTGACTGGGCCAAATTTTCCACCAACTCCATGAGTTTTGAGAAGAGCCTTGAAGTCTCAAGCTGCTTGTCTGAAAATGGTTGATAAAGTTTCTTTTGCCAGATTTTCCATGAATTCCATAGAGGAAATGTGGAACACTTGTCCCAGGCAACTTTTTCCAGCAATCAGAGTGGATGAACTTCAAACGTTACCTTGAATCTTTACATCCAATACACAGGCAGATGAATTGGAAAATGTTTGAAGGTTGATCCTGGGGGGTGGCCATGTGCGTACGTGTATATATGAGCCATTTTCTCCTTAGTAATGGAGAATTAAATGGAAAAGAGAATGGAAAATGAAATGGAAACTGAGATTATATAGGGGATTATAGGGGTTATAGTCTAAACTCCTAGTATCCCCCTTAATAACCCCTATGGTAGTCCCCTATATAATCCTTTATATAACCCTTCTTTAAGGAGTTTAGACTATAGCTCATATATATATATGTAGAGGGGTTATACAGGACTGTGAAGGATTTCCACACATTAGGTGGCCTGTTTTGGGGTCCCCTGCAATAGGGGGCTTTCCAGAGTGGGTGTGAGTTTCGAACGACTTTGGTGTCCTAGAAGAAGGAACCTCATCACCCGGTCCAATCTTTTGGCCTTGTTATGGATGTCTTTAGGGTAGGAATTTCATCGACTGGCATGCCCTCCAACCCCTTTGATTTACAGCCATTGGGCGGTGGTATTTCCCAAATGGGGTCTCCGAGGCATTTCGAGGCAATGGCGGTATTTTTCTTTTTCAGGCCCCCCAGAAGACTGGCCCGGCAATTCAGAAGCCAACAGGTGGAGTCCCTGAGCATGAGCCCCGGCTGCCGACGAGCCGTCTTCGTCCAGGTCATGTTCAGGGTTCGGGGCTTGGGCTTTGCTGTGTTGGGATTAGGGCTTTGTTGGCGGCAATATGTTCTAAGGAATGGAAGAACCTGCGATCCAGATAGGATCTCAGGTTAAGGCTTGGTGTTTTTAGCTGAAGGATTTTCAGCTCCCTGCCTTCCGTTTTTTGTGCCTTCACCAACTGTGTCTGGTGCAGATTTTTAGCTACTGTAAGAGGCCTATAGAGCCTGAGGTGTCTCCAATTCTGATGGCTGCGCACGTTTCTTCTCACTTGAAGGTTCACGGCCACTTGTAGCTGTCAAGAAGGGTTATCTTTCACTGGTGCTTGTCCTTGTTTTCCTGCGATATATACCCACTCCGGAGCCTTGAAGCAGAGCTATCCCAACATTGATGTGAATCTGCTTATGTGCTGCGTACACCTGAGTTCTATAGAATCCCGACGCATAGGTAGCTGGATGCCATTTCCAAAGCTTGGGCCATTAATGTAGCTATTTACCCACAGCGCCAAGTAAGGAAGACTTCCATAAGCAACGTCTTCGTGACTCCGGAGCATTCGCCTCTGCTGGCAATGCCAGTGCTTCTGTTGTTCCTAAGTTGCTGTTAAGAAATTTTTATACATCAAGTTACCATATGATGTCATATCATGGGTATACAGTAAATAATAGGGTTTCCCTAGTATTAAGCTACCATATTATGGGTTTATAGTAAATAATAGGGGTTCTTCATTATAGTACTTTTTTTGCAAAAAAGTTCCTTTACAGCAGCCCAGGTTCGGTCTCTGGGTTGGTGATGGCATGCTCCACCTTGTAACCATGGCTTCGAATGCTTTGACTATCTGCCCCGCGTCAGGGTTTGAGATTCTATGCTCAACCCTGGGGCCAGTAATGCAGGAATGCAGGGGCCTATGTAGTTGCCAATATTGTGGTCCTAGATTTTTTGGTATAATTCTGGTATAAGGTACCTCCAATACACTTCAAGATGATATTGGTCATTGTTTAGGCCCCGCATTACTCTCTGGAGGACTGCATAGGGCCTTTCATTTTGTGGTTTTGACTTTCAGCGGAGGTTATTGCATTGATGTGGAGATGGTGGGCGGTACTGAAACAGATGCCCTCTATGCGCCACAAGGCCTTAAGCTGGTCTACAGGGACCTGGGCGGAGGAGAGTCAGAGAGAGAATTGGCCGAGTTGATGGCAAATAATGCCATCATGCAGTAGAATCTGCAGGGTGTGTTTGTAGGCACTTGTGCAGGCTTCTGATCGGAATGTTGATTTTCGCCCAGTTACGAAGGAACCCCTCACACCCGAAGAGAAGCTGTCCACAGGCATTTTGCCAGAAGAGCATTTTCGCTTGTTTCTGCGGCTTGCGCTGCAACGTGCCAGAAGTGCCATTGTAAGTGCCCTGGTCCCACAGCCAGACGGCCGCTCGTGACCTTCCAAAGCTGAAGGTTCAGCAGTGACGAACGGGTACAAAACCACGTGCCCAGGAAAAACAAAAATTCTATGTCCTCCTGAGTGTTCATGCGGCATGCGTGTGCGTGAAAGTTCATAATTTCAATTGATGGACAGAGTTCAACCAAATAGAAGAAAGTCGATGTTCAAAGGTGTCGATTGATGCTGCCGAAGCTTGCACAACTTTTTGTGCGTGAACTGAAGCAGCATTGTCGCCTCCTTTGTGCTCTTCTTAGCTGTGGCAAGGTAGAACCATTCCATTGCAGTGTAGCAGGTGCGACACTTCTTCCGCGGCTACAACTTTACAGAGGAGGTTGCAGACAGATTTTTCGAATACTTGGACAAGGTGTGGCTCTATCTTGGTTCTGCAGGTTCAGTGTCTGCCCAGTGCATGACACATGTCGCGTGTGCTTCGCTGGAAGGGCATTTCTCTTGTTCTTACTTCCACAGCTTCTTAGAGCAAATCTGAATTGTGAGAGAGACAGCAGGAATCCTGGGGTCCTACATTCAGGTTTTTTCCCTGGATTTCCTTGGGTTTTCTGTTTGGCAGGAAAACATCAATACTTCACACTCCTGCGTATGATGCTGCTGAACCCGCCCCGCTAGGGCCAGCTAGGGCTGAGAGATTAGCCTTTGGAGGGTTGCGTCAGATTGAAGAAGCACAAAACAGCCGGCAGGAAAAGCGGGGCATGCTGGATTACGCAAAATTTGCTTGGCACTTGGCAGTCGGCAGTTTCCAAATCGTAGACCCCAAGATATTATAGTTACAACCCTTATTTGAGGACTTGCAAAAAGGCCAGTAGTTTTCAGGGCAACCTTCTTGTGGTCCTGGGGTTGACATCAGGCTGTTTCTGTTTTCTTTGGGCTGTTGGTTCCTCATTCTGGGGCCTTTTCAAACTTGTTCTTTGGTACAGTATATGGCTCACCCTAGAATGTCCTCATTAAACTTGTAGGCAGGACATGTAAAACAGTCGGTGCTCGTCCAGCTAGATTTCTGAGCCTGTCTTGAACGATGTGCTGTCTGCCATGGCAAAAGCATTTGGATTGACTGATTCGGAGATGCTTTTTGCGATGCTGCCTTGGCTGACCAGTCTCGGTAAGGTCAACTTCATTCGACCCTTCCTAGAGGGCGCGATCAATGGCACGCCTCTCACAGCACGTGTGATCCCCAGTGCTCTGGTGAGCTCACCAGTTCGGGAACTTTGTGAATTTAGAACCCTAAACCCTAGGCATGATTGGACCGTTATTATCAAAGGGAATGAGCACGACACCTAGACTTTTATTCTGTTCTTTACGGCAACCATGAATTGCAACAAAACAGGGGTTTGGGTCATTCCCCCTCACAGGATCAGTCCGTATTCGGGTCTTATGCAGGGGGTTTATTATAACGTTATAACTCCCATATATTCCTATGATCACCCATTGTGGTAGCAGCTACTCTAAGGGGGAATGACCCAAACTGTTTTAGTGCTTGCTAAAGCGGAACACCTCCAACCAATCCGGCTTCTTGTGTATGGGTGAAAGCGAGGCATCTCTTCGGAGGCACTTAGCGACCAAGCCGTTTCTCATAATTTGCATGAAAGGGCGCCCCAACTACGTACCCGAGTACATGATTTGCCAGAGGGACCCATCAAAGCGCTTGCCCGAATTTGTGGAACCCCCATGAAAACCCACATTATCTGCCTCCCCCTCCTAATTGTGCGCTGAGCCAACAAGGCCCCAACCCTAAGCCCTTAACCCTTAAGTCCAAGCCCCTCAGTCATGCAGCCTCATCGAGATGCGTGGACGCCACAGCAGTGACCTTTGAGGTCCTTAAATCCGCAGAGTGAGTCTCCCAACATACCAGAGAGAACCTCCACCCTTGCTAAGTTTTCAAATCCCCAGCCTTCAAATCCCCAGCCTTCAGCCAGAAGGTGACCTCACTAACTGCCGCGGTGCGCAGCTGCCTTATGGGCCAAAGGGTCTGGGATCTGTGTCTTTCTTGGGGTTTGGGGTTTCAGGTTATGCAAGAGCCCCCAATGTAGAAAGCATGTGAGCTGAGCTAGGGGGTGCCTGGAGCTCTGCGCCACTGACCCAACAAATAGCCAAAAGCCGCAACTCGAGCCAGACAATGACGCACCAAGAGATGCCGAAGTTCAAAAAGGTAGAACCCCATTCAATCCCTGCATTGGCGAGGCCAGACTCGGTCTTGGAAGACATGCTAGAGGCCGTTCAACTTTCTGAGCGAGAGTTTGGAGGGTGGTGGGAGCAGACTGCTTTGCCCAGATGGTCCTGGGTTGCCCATTTTCCAGACAGAACCTTGAATATTTCAACTCTTGTCGGATGTAGTCAATTGGTAGAAGAGGACTCCAGTGATTTCACTTCTTGTTTTCTCCAGGAATGAGTAGGTAACCCAGTCTTTGCGGATGTGGTTGCAAATAATCATGGTGATTACTCGCTGCCTCTGGAGTATTTCATTCTCTTTCTCTCTGTCTGTATTTTTGTACATGTAAAGAAACATGGGTAGATATTCCCATATGTTGTATACATCTCTCCTCTACTCTCGTCTGTTTGAGGGGCCCTGCAACGCAGATACCGCTCGTGACAACCTACACAGCCCCCGTTAGTTGTTGCAGTCCGAGCCCCAAGTTCAGATGAATCCTAACCAGAAGATGTAAATATTCCTTAACCTCAAAGCCGACTGTGAAGCTCCTACTTATGTCTGTTGCCATGAGGGCTTGAACACTACCCCCTGATTACATCCCTTCGTCCCATTCTGAGTAGGTTTGTTCCAAGGGCGATGTTGCAATAACCATCTACCAAATAGTACTACGGCGTACCACTGCAATATCGACAGAGACAGCGACGACGGATGTTTTTGCAGTAGCAGCAGCAGTCACAAGCACGATGGCAACAATTGCAGGACGAAAAGTAAACCTGTTTCTCATAGATCTGCTACTCCACTTCCACACGCATGGGTTCAAACAAGCCTTTCCTACAGCATCCCCGAAGTGAAGGCCACTGATGAACGCCAGGATCAGCAGCGCACTCAGCGTTAGTCATTACACGCATCCTGCGCACCATGCGTCCGGAGTACTGCTGTTGTTCGCATTCTTGGAGGTTGTGCGGTCCGTATAGAGATTGGTGTCATTGATATAGAGTTTCTTGTAGCATGCAAACGCCTTTTGCTCCATCAGCCCCTGCAAGGTAATTCGAAAAAAGGTTGAGGACACGGTGCAACATAACCCGCATGCCCTTGGCATGGTTGCTGTTGGATCGAGCTTCTAATGCAGAGATCTACAACAGCCTGCAACATTAGGAAGGGCTGAGTAATTTTCTATCCTGAAACTCAGCCATCCGGAACCCCCAACAAAAACTACATCCCTTGGCGCCAGAAGCATGACCGGTCGCCGCGCCCTAGGACCCTCCAAAACAGGCAGGACTACTATGGCACCGCCAAGCTTTTCCTGGAAGGTTTTAGGGGAGATGGTCAAACAATGAGGAGAATCAAGGTTGCAGCAAAAGAACTTTTTTTTTTGGACGGGGTCCATGAACATGAGGAAAGTTGAGGTCTCTAGGCTTGGGTGGCCGACGGTCATTCACCGAATCTCCAGGAATGGAGAATCAAATGGAAGCTAAACATGGATGATTACATGGGAAGTGAGTGTATAGGGCGATGTATAGGTCTTCGACCCAGTCCGGTGGCATCCTGTAGTCGTTTATGTTTACTTACAGGTAACACTAGTGTTTCGTACTGTGCTTACATGTGCTTACCAAGTTAAAGCTAGAAAGCCGAAAAAGCTACACTCTACGCCTCTCAGCGAGGTTGAATGCCTTCGATGCGAAGTTCCAGGCCTTGGTTTGGGGCTCTTTAAGGGGGTACTGGATTGGGCTCTAGGATGTTTTTTTTGTCTAGGGTCTATTCTCTCCATAATGAAGAATCAGATCGAATTTTTGACTTGAACGCTGAGCGAGCGGGCTCTACTCCTTGCGGGCAAAATCAGATGGAAAAGAATAACAAAATAGAAACCAGGGATATATAGCCGAGTCATTGCCCCAGAAAGGATTGGGCTTGGCGGGCCAAAGTTTTATGATTTTGCGGTTCAGGCGTTTGGAAGTTTAGGGTTTAGAGTTTAGGGTTTGGGATTGGGATTTGGGATTTAGGGTTGTTTAGGGTTTGGGATCAGAGGCTTTGCGGGAGAAGTTCACCTTTGCAAGAGATGGTCCAATGCATCATGGCAACCTTCAGGTTGCTGTCCCGCTGCTGTGCCGACTCCCAACATGTGAGCTATAGTCTACACTCCTTAAAGGGGGTTACATAGGGGATCATGTAGGGTAGTACAGGGTTATATAGAGTTTAGGGTTTAGGGTTTGGGGTCTACACTCCTTATAGGGGGTTGTATAGGCGCTTACGGGGGAGTAGTATGGGGGTATTAGCTGGGATATCTTAGGAGTTTAGACTACGGTTCATGTGACAATGTGGGCTCTCCAAACAGTGAACACGTCCCATTTGGGAGTGTCTCAGACTTGAAGGTTCTGATAGCTGCTGGAAGCTTCCGAAATGGAGGAGACTACTTGGTATATAGGGGTATATAGGGATATATACTGATATATACGGTGTAGGGTTTAGGGTTTAGGATTTCTTGGGGGTTTCTGATTCTTTGGGTTCTCCTCTGGGGCTTCCCTGCAAAAAGAGACTTCCATGTATCAGAAAGACATATTCCCAACATTACCCACTTCACGTCTGGCAAATTAGAATGAGACGATCCTCAGCTGGCATTGGGGTT